CTTCAGTATTACAAAATTAATGTGTGTTATAACTTTCATACATGTTGAGACATGTAATGTTCATACATTTAATTTCGAATAAATTTTATTCACGTTATAATGAGATAAAATATTTTTCACGCTCAATTACAATTATATTTTCGAAGAGCTTGAAGCTCAGGTTATTGTTATAAATTTTTTTAGTCCATAAAATCATGTCAAATGCTCCAGATGCCAATTGTCGTTTTTTTGTCACAACAGTTAGTCGAACTTATTGAAACACATAATTTCTAGATTAAATGTGAAATTTATTAATAATGTTAATAGCTCTTTAATTGAAAAAATTAATTTATGATATCTGTGTTAATAAGTAACCTGTGTAATAAGTTGAGTTGTGGAATCCAAGACTTGGAAAACTATATTGAACTGCTTAAGAATCGAAAACAAAATATAACTCTAATCATGAAAGATGATTTATATACAATTTTGTTTATGAAGATCATTTCTGACATTAGTCTCTTTTGAAAGAATGATTCTAATATCTGAATATTATCCCAATTAAATTTGTGACAATATTCAAATTGATGTTGTGAGACCACATTGTGAGCGCTATTTAATTTTTTAATATTAGTTTTATGTTCATTTATTCTAGTTTTAACTTTCCTTTTAGATTGACCCACGTAAGAGAAGTCACAATCGAGGCAGTTTATTTTGTATATGACATTACATTGTTCCATTCTTTCTAATCTGTCTTTACCTAATTTAATAATTGAATTTTATCGTATTCATTGGTTTGTAAGCTATTTTGAAATTTTTTTTTCCGCAATCATTTTAAATTTTTCCGAGATGTCCTTCATATAAGGTAGAAAGTATATTAAGGGGAAAAAAGGGAAAAACAGGATTTTCGCATGAGACTATCAGTACTGTCCGCGCATTTTATTTACTCAGCCACATCGATTAATTGAATTTAATGTTTACTAGTGCAATATAGAATTCACACGATGAACGCTCTCGTGTTCTCGTATTCTCAAGAATCTCGAGTTTTCGATGCAAACTTTTTGATACACCGTTTATGAACAGGAGCGGACTAAACTGCATCGGAAAGTTCTCTACTATTTTGCAATTTTGGCAATTTTTTTTTAATTATAATATTTAATGAATAAACTCTCTGAAATCGACGCATAAAACAACTTTAAGGTACCTTTTGAAATTCTTTAAGAAATATCCTTAAATTATTTCGTACAAAAAACTCTGAAAGATATCTACAAGTTAATTTATGAGTCTTATATACCCCCTTGTTAGAGATTATCTTTAGAAATTAATATCTTGTTAATTATTACGAAAAATGGTAGACGACTTGGTGACTCAGTTTGGTCCGATTTATTTGTCCATAAGTACGTAAAAAAATTTGGGACACAATATATTGGAAGTACAAATTAGTTCGGTTCGTTTTCCAAAAGATGGCTCTGGCTGTTGTGAATGATTCATAATGACAGCTGATTTTGGCGTTTTCAGAGAGATTAGACATCTGCTAATAATATTCAGTTTATATCGCTTTGAGTTTCATACAAAAACCTTGATTTTTACTGTGTTCGAAATGTCGAATTTTATGTTAACCAAACAGCATTTACGGGAGGTTCTAATTTTCTGCTTTAATTGGAAGAAAAGTGCAGCTGAAGCTTTGAATATTTGTCGAAGTTTATGGTGACACTGCTCCAACTGATAAATCATGTAGGAAACGGTTTCGACGTTTCAAGGATGGAGATTTCAGCGTTGAAGACAAGCCTCGTTCTGGACAGCCAAAAAAATTCGAAGACAAAGAATTAGAGGCATTACTCGATGTTGGAAGCGCGCTCTCAATATCGTTGACATAGAGGGCGAGACGCGTGTTACCGGCCGAGGAGTGAGTTAGAGGAAGGTGCCGAAAGGGCCGCGTGTGAACGGAAGAAGACGAGATCGGATCGCGAGCAGAGAGAGTACGGCCCGTTTCCCGCCAATATTCCCGCTATTATAACTTTTGCCCTTGGTACTGCCATTGTTACTACGAATAATCCGAGCCGTATGCTCTCGATGTTTTGCAATAAAGTAGCGTGTTCGTGTAAAATAAGAAGAAGTGTCTAATATTATTGAGAACCTTACGATCCCGAAACCGCGGCTGCAACATTCTGGCGACCGTAACAGGACTGAGTAATTTCGTTGTAGCCGTTTATAACAAGTAGATCGTAAGAAAGTAATCCATAGACATGGAACAAATAAAGTTAACGCTAAAAATAACACGATCCGCCTTTACGAGAGTGTACACTTCCTTCCGGACTGAGCAGTCGAAGGAATCGCCGGACATAACCTCATTGCAAGTCAGCTTCGCGTTGCTACGAGACAAAACGAGTGAGCTTAATGAGCTAAATCAGAAGCTGCAGACCTTGATGATTGAAGCTGGAGATTCTGAAGAAACCATTGGAAGAGAGGCACAACACGCAGATGAGTATGCCACGAAATACCATCAAGCAAAGGTCGGGCTAACCTGTCTTTTAGAGCGGAAGAATGAAACGCCGACACCGGTTCCGCTACAACGGACTACCACGACAACACAGAAAAATATACGCGCATTGAAATTGCCGAAAATTGAATTAAGAAAGTTTGGCGGTGATATCAAAGATTGGCTTCCGTTTTGAAATACTTTTAAGAAAATTCATGAAGACGCGACGTTGTCGAGGGAAGATAAATTCCAATATTTGGTACAGTCTATGGTAAAAGACTCGCGCGCATTTGAAGTAGTGAATAGTTTTCTACTAATGGCCGGTAATTATGAGAAAGCCATACACAGCCTCGAGTCTCGATTCGGGAAAAAATACTTATTAATTGAATATTATGTACGTGAACTTTTAAAGTTAGTCTTAAGTAAGAATAAAAACATGTCGCTCACAATCACTTATGATAAATTAGAGACACATATACGAGCACTTGAAACTTTAGGCGTGACAACAGAAATGTGCGCAGCAATGTTGCTTCCTTTAGTAGAATCCTCACTGCCTGAAGAGACTTTACGTACATGGCAACGAACAAGGATTCAATTAATTCCTCATTT